GAAAAACATGAAAAATTATTTGAAAAGTAACAATAACAAAAATTATTTGAAAAATAACAATAACCACACTTTAAAACAAGCTCTAAACCTGCTTCAATAACATAAACCGCAATTGCATGGTTGTTTCATGATGCCATGGTAATCTTATCTTTTCAGTTTTAGTCGCCGACTAAATTGGTTATTTCTGAAAATTATTTTAAAATTTTTTAAATATTTATTTGCCATTAATAATAAGTATTTTCAGTAAAAAGTATTTAATTTAATTTTTAGAAAAAATTTTTTCATTTTATTTTGAAGAAAAAACATAGAGATGTAAAAATTTTAATAATATTTTGTTGTTTTTTTATTTATATCAAATTTAATCTTTAGTTTTAGGATAGTTTATTTGATTTTTATATTAATTTTATTTTTTATTTTTTATTTGTTTTTATCCTTTTTTTAATTAAAATTTTTTATTTATTAGATTTGTTTTCTATTATTTTAATTATTATTTATTTTATTTAAAATAATTTATAAAATAATTTTATTCTTCGTCAGCTTTTTTATTTGTCAAATTTATTTTAAATTTTTTTAAACTTCAAAAAAATAAATTATTTTTTAATTTATTTTTTATTACTTGATCAAATACTGAAAAATATTTTTTAATTTATTTTTTATAACACTAAAAAATATTAAAAATAATTCACTTTATATAAATTTACTTTCAATAAAAACTAATTTTTTTAAAATAAATTATTTTTTAGCAAACAAAGTCTTAACTGTTCCAATGTTTCAATTTTACTGTTTTCTATGCCCTGGGCCCCCCCGAGGCCCCCTGGTTGTATCATTTTTCTTAAAAATGTAATAAAAAGTATACAATTATTGAAAAATTATTCAATATTATTATTAAATTTAATTTAATTTTAATGAGCCAATCTTAAAACTTCTCTACTTAACTTTTTATTTTATGTGTTTGAGAGAGGGGTAACAATTGTTCTTTATAGTATTTTTATTTTGAAAATGTATTAAGTAAATATTTTTTATTTTTAAAAAATTATTTTGACATCAACATATCAAGACAATTTAAAAATAATAAAAATTTTAATTTTTCATAAATATTGTTTGGTATACAATTTTAACTAACTGATTTGTCAAGTTTAAAAGTAATATAACCAAACAATAAAAAAAAACTAAGAAAAAAATTGAAAAAAATATTTCATGTCAACTTATTATTTACCTCTCAAGTTTAAAATAGAAAAAAAAAAAAAAGAGCATCGTTCATATTACTAGTGTACCTATATGATTTTTCATAATTGTTTTAATATATAGTAGGGTAATTACCGAATCATGCAAGGGAATCTTGATATCAAATCCCACAGCTGGGCAATTACAAAGTATTGTTTCGTGGGTAGTAGCTAGTTATAGGATAATGGTAAATTGCGTTCCCACTATAGAATTGATTTTCAATTTTTAGAAATGCCTCGAACTTTGTGACCTTTTTTTTTTTTTGTAAATATGAGGAGCATATCGTTAATAAATTGAATTTTTGTTGGTCTTTATGAAAAGGACTAATAATATTATTATTTATTTGAAAATCATCTTAACCTATAGAATCGGAAGAAATGTGAAATTAAATGTTGGTGTTTAAAGAGCTGTAAACTTGCGGTTTTTTTATGTTTTTGGATTGGTTGGGCAATTACAAAGTAATAATGGGAGGTAGTTTGTGTTTTTTCAAGTAAAAAACATGTTTTTATAGCTTTTAAAGATATAGTTTGTGTTTAAAAAATATTATATCTTTAACAAAAAGCCACTACAACTCACTCAGATCCAAACAGCCTGTGTGACTCATTAAAAGTGTAAAAAAGATGTTTTTTAGGGTGCAATCGTAGGATGCACCCCAAAAACAAACGAGCACTTCACCTTCAAAGATATGTAAATTTGCTAGGATTTGGCAAATTATGATAGCTGTGACTTCATTACAATACTGGGTTGCAGAAACTGCCATGCCATGTAATTATTTGTTCTGGTGAAAGGTGTTTTTTCCTTTCTATTCAGACCATATATGGAGGTAATGAATGAAGAGTCCACTTTCTGAATAATCCGATTTATCCGTGCAAGAAAACAAATATCTAGCATCATCAAGTATAGTGCTACACTTGTTTACGTTGCAAATTAAAAAGATAGGACAAGGAATTAATCTCAACGTTCAAAGAAACCTTCCTGTTGGGAAATTGATGAGCGAGACATTTGTTTCCTTCTTTCGAAGAAAATATACAGTAATTTTATGTCTTTATTCCTTTTTTCGCCTATCAGGTGCTACCGTGTTTTGAGGCAGGGAACAATTTCTACAGGTAGGCTGAACCAGGCAAAAAGATAGCAGACAGTCATGCACAAACAGAGCCATTCAGAGAAGTGAGAGGAACTGGAAATTAGACGAAATAACATGGAATAACTTGGAACGGGAGCTCTCGCTACACAATTTATAAACAGTGCCCGAAGAATGGCATGAGCCCTCGAAAGATGCATCAATGTAGGAGGTGCCTGTGATTGATATTTGATTTTAAATTTCATTTTATTCTTCTCTATCAAATGAATGCCTAACTATCTTTGCCCATTTAGGATTTGAAAGGTTTTTCTGATGAGCTGGACAATTTCCTTGCGTAATCTTATCATTCAGACGTACTGTTCATCACTCCAGCAGACACTTTCCGACTAGGGGTGGACATGCATCCCGAATTGCCCAACATTTCTCCAATTGAAGTCATACGACCAGGACTACCAGTTGCCATGCCTCTAGCGTAGAATCAAGTAAGTTTATTTCGTATATGACTAGAAATTACGAACCCTCAGTAAGAAAGAAAATAACAGAAACAACAAGATTTAACGAAATTTTGTACATTGTCATTCTGGGGGAAGAAGTCGAGACATTGCATGCAATCTTATCCAACTAATTGGAGCAACCAGTCCTACATTAACAGCCTTTTCCATGCTGAAAGAACTCCAGCAAGTAATCAAGAGATAATAAAATACAAACGTTCTAGTTGAAAAATTTACAACTGTAAATCAAAGAATCAAACCTTGTGCAGGTGGAGGCTTGGATGGCTTCTGGTCACTTGCATCGGATGCTTTGGGAGACTCAGATAGGTGGACCTGAGCAAAGTCGTCCACCATTTTCCTCTTTTGTTCCTCTTCAGCCATTCCTACCTTTTCTTTTGCCTTCTGGCCAACATCCCCAGCTGCCTTGGCAACCTTATTGAACGCACCAGTCACCCAAGCAGCCCCAGTAAACACGTACCTATTACTCATTATGGCAGATCCTGCGGTACTGACTTTCTGCTCAGCAGCTGCAAATGCTGATTTGGTTTTCTCAGAAACCTGAAATTTCTGATCCACTTCCCGGACTTTGTCACCAACAACAGTGGTGCCAGCACTAATCTTCTCAGTGAGACCTATCTTTTTGTCAAAAGAAACAACTTTAGCTGAGGCTGTCGAAGTCAACTGGTGCTTCTCATCAAAACCCTTTGCTTTGTTGATTGCATCTTTGCCCAAGATGAAACCCTTCGCAAGCATGCCACTAACCACATCTTCTGCCTTCCGAAAAGCTGATTCATCACCAGGAGCTTTATTTCCTGTTGCCTGCAGATGGGTGGGTATAACCAGTTCAGTAAAGTGCTAGGGTTTATAAGCTAACAGAAGTTCAGTACAACGTTCTTACAGAGAGTTCTGCTAAAGCAGCCGGTGGAAGCTCGTAATCTGGATCCAAAGCCACAGTGACAGAAAGGTCAACTATTGTTGCTCCCTGACATAAAAAACAGTTTAGTACGATACCTAATATGTTGCTTAAGGAAAGCAAGCCGTGTATATTCAGAAAAACCCTATCAACTTCGAAAATAGCTCAGTTATCTGTGAGAAGTTTTCTTACATAGCTTTAAGAAAGCAATTTACTAAGGAGGTAACTGATTTCCCAAAGAAACTAGTAATATGGAAGACCAAGTCCCCTCTACATTGATCTTTTGAATTGGAAGTAAGATTTTGAATACTGATAACCTATAGAAGGAGGGGAACAATGTCGGTGAATCGGTGCTATCGTTGTAAGGGATGGATCTTGTCAAACACCTGTTGCTACACTAATTTTGACCCCAAAAGCACTTTACAAGCTATTTAATGGTGCTGAGTGCCACTCTCGTCATACACAAGTTCTGGAAGGAGAAGCTAGGGGTGGAGATTTTATAAAGGAAACAAGATGGCTATGGTACTATCTCATTAACTTATATTTTGGTTGCATAGGAACAGAAATGGCATTGGCAAGGGAAGAGGCTTCTCTATTAGGACTTCAAGTTAACAGAATGCAGATGAAGCTTTTACAAATGTAACCAACACAGCATAGTTTATAGACCCATTATTTTGAATATAAATTTTTCCTTCTTTGTAAACTTACAGCCCTCTTGGGCCTTTTATATAAATTTCCTTTGCTTATCAAAAGAAATATGAGAAGCCATTGGATCACAGAGATTAGGCTCCGAAAAACAAATAATGTTCTTTTTTTTCCAATAGAAGACAGTTTTGCGATGACCATCCTGTGATCATAGGATGATCATTGCTGACATAATATTGCAAGCTAAACAACAACGTTTCAAGCATGATCTAAACACACAAAATCCTATGACTTCAGAAGCAAATATTCTCTATAAAAGAGGATGCAGTATCGTGATCATTTCCCTTCAAGGGGAAAAAGACATTAATTGAACTCATGAGGCAAAATCAATGCATATAAAAAGAAATGGCCCATTGATCTAGTGGTGATGCAGGTACTGAAAAATAATTACCGAGAGAAGAACAGCTGTGTCTGCTCCTTGAGAATCTTTGAAGGTAACGTATGCAATTTGAGATCGCTCATTATCACTGTACAAGCATAAGAGATGGTATTCAAACAACAAAGAAAAATGAAAGAATGAGTAGGGGAGAGAACATGGAAATGAACGGCACAATACCTTTTCATTTCAACATATTCAATATCACCAGAAAAAGAAAAGAATTCTTTGAGGTCTCGCTCAGATGCTCCCAAGGAAACGTTGCTGACTTTTACTGTTTTTACCTGCAAAAAATAAAAGTAATGAAAAAATCAGTGCCCTGTGGAGCCACAATGAAAAATAAGGATGGCAAGCACAGCACATAAACTAGAAATCTCAGACAGAATAATAGAATGCCTACGGAAAATTACATCAAAGCAAGGGCCTGCAAGGTTGAAATGAAATCCTAAGCCCCGATATTATATAGATTTGCAAAGAGGAGTGACTCACAGTATCAACTATCAGCTAAGGCCCTAATAAAAAAATAATAAAAAATAAGCTTTGCTGCTCCACTGCCAGGTCTAAGAATAAGAAAAAATCTCTACAATAAAACCCTAAAAAAAATCAATAATCCAGAAAGAAGGAAAGGGATGAAATATAGAAAAGAAAATGCAAAGACCATGGGAAAGAATTCCAGACAAAGAAAAGTGCACCAAAAGACATGAAGCGCATCAAACTGACTGGAAATCCAAATCCAAGGTAAAATATGTGTAGTGGCAATCAGGCCAGCCTCGTGTTCTTCTTGTATGCTTGGTGGGTAATCTCCATTCGAAATCACACTTTCACGCATAAAATATTTAGTTCAAGGGTCTAGTTTTTTGCTTCTGGTTTGTGGTAGCTTAATGGTCCACTAGCCCTGGCTACACCTTAACATATTCAAATAAAGATGGAGAAATTATAGTCCAAGTATTCTTCAGCCTCAGTTAACAAAAATTCCCTTGCAAAATTTTAACTTAACCATTATTTTGCATGAATAGACATGGTTTTAGAAACAATTACGAACTTCATCCCAATCTAATATAAACAGTGAAGAAACCAATCAGAATAACGATTACTGGTGGGATCTTGCTTAGTCTCCAATATTTCATTTCCATGTTACTGTGAGAGCCAAGAATGAAGGATCACTCGCAATTTTCACAATCAAAGCTCCAATTATGAGAAACTAATGGACTACAAATCCTTCTTAGACTCCACATCCGTAACTAGAAATTAAATAAACCTATGATTGCTATGATCTAGTAATACAAACCAAGCCACTAAACTTCCTCGTCGCAAGCATTGAGGCCATTGAAAGATTTACCCCGCACTAATACACTCATCCTCACCGAACAAAGATATATTTTAGTAACAGCAAATCATATCGGTATCAATCGAGATAAGAAATTAATAATGAAAATCTAATATTTCAGTACCCAAACAAACAAAAATATCTTTAGAAACAACGCATACAAATAAATCAAAAAAATAATTTATAGCGAGCAACAAAGCTTTAAGATTGCACAAAAAAGAAATTGCAAAGCAGAAAATAGATCTATGCATATTAATCAGTCAGAGATCGAAATTGCTCGACTCAGAATAAATTAAGAACAAGATAAAAAAAAAAATACAAGGACGTGACGCTACTGACCGACATGGCGAGCTGCGTTGAAAAGAGAGGGGAAGGACGGGAGTCGTTAAACGAGAGAAGCGTTTGTTTCGCAAGGAGGAGAGAGAGAGAGAGGTTATAAGAGGGGGGAGGTTGAGGGGGGCACACGTGTGTAAGGACAGATGCCGGCAGTCGCGGCACGTGAGAGATTGATTAAAGAGAGCATTGCTGCTGTAACTTGAAAGTAACCGCGGCTTTTTTCTTTTCTTTTTCTTTTTTTTTAAATAAAAAAACATCCCACGACTATTTGGCTGGAGGGAGCAGTTTATGATTTTACAAGTAAGAGGTCAAATGAACATGTTTTGATTTGGTCTCGAAATTCAATTATATGATAATTGAAGCACTATGCCTTTATTTTATCTTTTCACCAAGAAGACAACATGGATGTATGATAATTGAAGCACCATGCCTTTATTTTATCTTTTCACCAAGAAGATGCATGTGTAGAAAATAACAGCTTTCGTTGCGCATCATATTAAAAAAAAATGATATAAGAAGATATTCAATAGTTGTTAATCTATTTTTAATGGAAAATAAATAAATTATATGAAGGTTAATATAATGTAACTTGGTTGATTTGGTAAATTTTTTTAAAAAATACTAATAAAAATATAGTTGTAGTATAAAAATCGGAGTGCATCTTTTTTAAAATATTAAAACGACAATATATTACATTGACTAGAATTAATTTTTCAAATCTGTTATTCATACCGTGAGACTATGATAATTTTATAAATAAAAAATAATTTTTTTATTAAACTTGATTATCAATTAACTCAATGTTGAAGGATAACATTAAAAACAATATTCAACTAAAAAAATTAGTTAAGTCAACTAGGGTTAACCTTTTAAAATCGGGTCATAAGATCGAGATAATTCCACAAAAAATATATTTAAATGAATTATGAAACTCAATTATTAATCAATTAAATGTTAAAAAATAAAATTAAAAAATATATATCAAGTAAAAAATAAAACATAAAAAAAACACTTGAATCAACTAACTAAACTTATGTGCCAAGTCATGGTACCAAAATAATCTTATAAAACTAAATCAAAACAAATTATAAAGCATGATTCTTAATCAACTCGATATTAAATAATAAAATTTTAAAAAATCAACTCAAAAAAGACAAAAAACATGAGTCAACTGACCTAATTTGTAATCTATGTCATAATATTGTAATAACGCTATAGAAGACAAATAAAAAAAAATATGAATCTCAATTTTCAATTAACTCAATGTTGAAGGAATAAATTAAAAAAAATAACACAAGTCAACTCGGATTAACTTGTCATACCCAAATTATGAAACCGATATAACTCCATATATATATATAACTCGTAATTCACGACCAGATTATAAGACATGGATTCTCCAAATAAAGTAAATAAAAAAATAATTATAAAACTCAATTATCAATAAATCCAATGTTAAAGGATAAAATTAAAAAAAATTACTTAAAATGACAAAAAAAAAAACTTGAGTATATCTAACCTATAAAACTCACGATCCAATTTATGAGACTTAGATAACTTCATAAAATATATATCGAAATAAATTACAAAGTACATGACTTGTTAAAATTAATGTTGAATAATGAAATTATAAGAAAAAAAAACTAAGTTGGAAACTAAAAAAAAATGAAAAATAGAGTATCAAGTGAAAAAAATATTGACCTTTCACTATTCACTGCTAAAATAAAACATCAAGAATTTATGTATATGTTAAATTTAATACTATTCGTGATTCTCCACCTTCATATGTGATTCTTGCTAAAATAAAACATCAAGAATGTTAAATTTAATACTTTTCGTGATTCTCCACCTTCATATGTGATTCTCCACTTTCACATAGTCATGTCTAAATTTTTTAATAAGTATTTAACATAGTTATTGAATTCAGACCGGCTTAGAATTCAGTTGATTAGGTGTTGAATCAGTTCGGATAAAATAAGAGACTAAAATGAATAACGGATAAAATAAGAGACTAAAATGAATAAAAACCTGATTGACCCATTGGGATGACCTGTGACTCGGGCAATTCAACAAAATCTAATCAACATCTGTTTTTTTCTTCAAATATATTTTTTCTCCTAGCCAAAGGCCTCTTTTTTTTTATTTTTTTAGTTAGTTATTCAAAGTTTACTATATAAATACTATAATAATATTTTATTTTTTCAATATCAAATTTAAAACACTTTGATATATGTATATTATATTCACAAGAAAAAAATATAATTTTTTAACGTGGGATAAAAAAAAAAATTGGTTTAAATATTTTAATTTAAAATGATAATATGAAATTTGGTTTAAATATTTCAATTTAAAATGATAATATATTAACATAATATTTTGTATATCTTTTAAAATTTATTATATATATATGTATATATATATATATATATAATTGTTCAACCTCGAAGTTGATAAATAAAATGGACAACTTATGCATGAAATCGTAAAAGCGGGGGTCTCAAAGTTGTTCGATTTGGTTATATAGAATAGAGAAGTACAACGTTGAGAAATTGAGCGTGAAGTAGACCGTATGATTCTGTAATGATTTTTATTTACGTCGAAACAATAAATTATCTTAGTTGCCAATATTCTAGCAATTTTTTCGTGCTGCTTTCATAGTTGATAACTTAACTTGATCCATGCTATCTAGAAATAAATTAATTTTAAGAGCAATGATCTTAATTAACAATTTAAATAAATTTGTAATTGGCTTGATATAATTAAATAATCATTGTTTGAATATCACTTTTATCTATACCTTAAAGTTGAATGGTATCAAAATAAATCACGTCTTTAATTACAAAGATTTTTTAAATGCTTTGGTATAAATACCATGCACGTGTTTATTGTTATTTTCACATTCGCATCTTTTAGGATATAATTAAATTTGTTAACTAAAAAAAAATTAAAAAATAGAGAAGCAAAGTAAAAATAAAAAACATCACAAATGGGTGATGCTTTCCAAGTTGTCACAAAATGTTTACTTTGGTCTTTAAACTTTACAAATTACACATGATTGGTCTCTTAATAGTTTTTCAATTTAATTTTGATATAAAAAAATATTTTTATTATTTTTGTAGTTCTTCGCTTAAGAAAATAGCGAGAGAGGACGCTGGATTATGGTGGTGAAGAAAAAAAAATCAATATTAACACAAAGTTTGTTCATAAAAAATTATCAATCTCAATATCAAAAAATTTCATTTTATTAAAGAAGTTCAAGTTAAGTGTTTTCTTACCTTGAAATTACTTTAAAACTAAATATAAGCTTAGAAAAACCTTTTGTTTCATATTGATTTTTAGTTTCTGTATAGTTGTTTCTTTTTATTTTTAAGGTTATTTATGAGCTTTTCAAGGTTTTTTGGATCTTTTTTAGATGTTTTATGTCAGAATAAATTGATTTTTTTTTTTAATAAAAAAACATAGACCTTGTTTTTATGGCAATCACGATGGCTGAAATCTAGAAAATATCAAGTGACATGTCATTTACCTCAGCAAACAAAATGTTGCTTGGATTTTTTTAATAAAAAAATAAGGTCTCGACTTAGGCCTTTTCTAAATAGGTCAGGCTCAACAGCGTTTGACCTTTTTTTAAAAAAAATTATGCTTTTTAAAAATAAATTTTAATTTGTATTAAATTAATTCCCTTCTCTTAAATTTTTTATTTTTAGTTTTGAATTTTTAAAACAGTAGTTGTTTTTTTAAATTATTTTTTATATATTTGATTTTTTAAGAGATTATTATAATTCATATATTTTTTCATGTTCTATGTAATTGAATTTTATTTTTAAAGATGAAAAATATTAATTCTTTGATAGTATTTATAATAAGTGTGACCTTGCTTGATGTTATTTTTTCTTTGATTTTATTTAATCAATTTCATGTGTCTATCTATTTGTACCATCATTTAATTAAATAAAAAAATAAATGTAATAAAAAAAAAGTTAATGAACATTATTGATGAATGAACAATGTTGCAAGATCAAATATCTTAATTTATACCTGTTTCTTAACTTTTCTAGATATGTATGTAGTTATTGTTAATGGCTTTTCATTCATTTAATGACATAGATGATTCTCAATTTATCTAATTATATGTGTTTATAAACTTTTTGATTTACACTTGATGTTATTTATATAAACAAAACATGTTGCAAATACATGTATGTTCAATTTATCATTGAAAAAAATAATATACAGCCACCAGTAGAGTGATGGTCAAATAGATAGCTAAGTATTGCTATAGAAGGCATGAGTTTTTCATTATGCAATACTTTATTGTTTATCTTTTCATACATTATTGTGGATGAGTTATGCAAAAATTTGTGTTTTTTCAATTTAGTTCTTAATTTTTTTCAGCAATTTAATTTCAATCAAAGATTAATTGATCTTGATTTCTCATGAAAAGATGATATTAAAAGAAAATGGATCGAAATAAAAAAGGCACTGAACATGAGTAACATGCTATAAGTCTTATAAAAGATATACTTTGGTCCTTGAAATTTAAAAATCACGCAAATTATACAATTTTAGTATCTTAATATTTTTCAAATTTAATTTTAGTACCAAAGTTTATTTTTGTTATTTTTTAGTCCGTAGTTAAGAAAGGAGAAAGAGAGAGATCGTTGGATTTTAGTGATAGAGAAAGAAAAATGTTGTTAATATCAATTTAGATCACCATAACAAACAATATTTGTGTCAGATGGTTTAATTTGACGACGGAGTTTGTATTATGTGTTTTTACCTTTCAAATTCATGAAAAAATAGATATGAGCCTTGATTGATTTTTGAATTCAGATTGATTTTGGTTTTTTTGGTGATTTTTTTGAAGTCATGGATAAGTTTATCACGATTTCTACAATATTTTATAGATATTTTGAGTAAAAAAATAGGTTGAAAAAAAGTTTTTTAAGTTTTATTTGTAAGAATCGCTAATAACCTTTTCATTTATTTTTTTATATGCATAGTTATTTATTTACTTGAATTTAGATATTTTGAACTATAAAAATACATTGAAAAACCTGTAAATATAATATTTTTATAAAAAATATAATTATTTGATCAGTAACGGAATTCGAGTCACCTAACTAGTTAATGTAACATTAATGGACAGCTATGACAAGAAATCATGTATTTTTTTTTGTTGATTTCTTTCAAGTAAAAAGTATTGTTGTTTATGTTTCTGATAAGAAATTTTTTGTAAACATTGATGGAATATCATTTCTATCCTCATTTGTTTGTCAGCCTAACTTCGTTGCCATTAGAATATACACTAGATTGGTGATTGCAATACGGTGAAATCGTATTTTTTTAATAAATTATTTAAATATTATAAATATGTTTTAAAAATAAATAAATTCAAGAGCTTATGTTATTGTATAGATCAATTGAATAAATTATCTTTATTTAAATTATATATATAATTAAATAAATTCAAAATCTCATGTTTATATATATACAGAAGCAACCACAACAAACAGAGATCAGGCCTTGTTCACAACCAAAATACTACGATAATAATCCTCCATGAAGTTGTAGCCACTAGCCAATAGCAATTCTCCACCCCACAACGCCACTTTAATTCACAAGGTCAGGCATTGATCCTTTCTCTAATTAAAAACTCCAATTAAAATTAACAAAACATTAAGTATGTATTTAATAATGTGTTACATGATATTTTTATAAAAATATTTTTAATTGAAAACAGGTAAAAATATTTTTTTAAAAGTTTTTAGTATTAGTATCTTAAAATCATAAAAAAACAAAAAACTATTAATTAAATATTTTACAAATAAAAAATAATTTTAAAAACATAAACCCCGTTACGAAACGGAGGAGCAAGCAATTGCAACCATATGTCCACATCGCCACCATCCCCACGCGTAGCTATTGTTTTCCTCTTACCAAACACTCTGTTCTCACGTGTCTTTCCTTTCCTTCTGGGGTCCACAATTCCACATCAACGTGCCTGCACCGAATATTCAAATCCCGAAACCCCAAAAAACAAACAGCTACTAACGTCCCACACATCATCATTCCATTTCCTCTCCCTTCTGAGTTCTTTCTCTCTAAGATCATCCAAACAATTCTCTCTCAATTCACGCCGTGCTATAAGCTTCTCATCTTTCCATTAACCTTAACAGATTCTTGTTCCTGTACCCAAACAACCAGCTTCTCTTCCCTTTCTCGAAAATTAAAAAATCCCCTCTTTTTATCTTTCGAGAAAGGGTTGGTCAGGGATTTTCGATCAAATTGAATCGAATTATATAATAATAATAATGAGCTTTCAAGATCTGGAGGCAGGGCGACCCTTGGCATCTTCAAGGAGAGAACTGATCAACGGGAAACAAGATGCCACGCAAGCGGTTGCTTCTGGAATCTTCCAGATCAACACCGCCGTTTCCACTTTTCAGCGTCTTGTTAATACCCTTGGGACTCCTAAAGACACGCCTGATCTCCGGGAGAAGCTGTAAGTTTATTTTTTATTTTCTTGCCGTTTTGAGTTTCTTTGTTTGTCGTTTTGACTAAATATCCAGAATTATGGTTGTTTTTTCTTCATTATTGAGAATTGAATTATTAAGATCGTGGAAATGTGTAATTTTGCTGTCTGGGTAGTACTCTTGAAGTGGTTTTATTGCGTTTTTGGAGTTCAAATGAAGAAATTATAGGTCTGGTAGCCTTTTTCCTGGAGCTAGAAAATTGTTGGTGTACTTACGAGAATAAATAGAATCAGAAAACTATTGAGATTCTAATGATATATTAGAAGACGATTTTTGCACTGAAAGGTAGTTACCTTGTTCGTTTTCTAACAATTTTACTGGCATTCTAATTGCTATGTAATGTGGAAGGTATCATATAGGAATTGCTTATCATAAATTGCTACCTTACCCGGTGAAGAACATTCTGCTTGATTGTTGTTATCTCTAGCATTATTCAAAAAGTTTTGAGAAACGATGCCAAACACAATCATGGTTGTTGCGTTTGCCCAATCTAGGCCACGCATGAGAGATGCATGTGTGTGAATGTGCTGGGCTAATTGCATGTATCTCACATGAATGGCCCAGATGGCTCTGTTGCAACGTCCTTGGCTGTGCTTAGTTGCTAGCAATACTAAAAAATCTCTATAATGGTACTTATGTGTAACCTTTTTTGGTTTTCAAGAATCCATCTACAACCAATAAATAATTGCTGCTAAAAATGTTCGGGACTATCCACCAACGTACACTCATGCTGAATAAAGTGGTCCTTCCATCTTGACTCATACTGGCTGGCTAGCCTAGTTTTGCTCATTAATCATGATGCTGAAGCCTAATAGAAGTTTCAGCTCTTAAATATGTCAGTATTTGGCCTTCTTTGTGCCCCAAGGAGAGATGAAGCAAAATTTCTAGTAACAAGAAAATAGTTAAGAGTTTAGAAAGAACATAGGGTATGCCTGAACTCTGTTAGTAATTAATGTATTTGCAGCCATGTTTGAGACTACTCTCATGACTCTTTGGAAAAGAGTGTTCAACATTATATCGTAAGAACTTTTCTCATAAATTTTAGTTAGGACATAATTGTATCAATCTCTTTTGGGCTGTTTTTGAAAATTTGCGGTGGTAGTGTTTGTTCTCTCTTGCTCAGAACATTAAAGTGCATGCCAGACTTCCATAATAATATATTGTTCAAAGAAAATGGCAGAATTCAGAATGTGTTGTAATATGAAATCCTCACCGGCAGCATCTTGTCAATGCCCAGCTGTTAGTCTCTCCCCTTCTGTATTTTATTGAATTCTATCAACCAAATACCTGTGTAATGAACCTCCACTTGGAGTTGTTGTACTGATTTTTCTTGCACAACAGGCATAAAACAAGGCTACATATTGGGCAATTGGTGAAGGATACTTCAGCCAGACTTAAACAAGCTAGCGAAACAGATCATTATGCTGGAGTCAGTGTATGTTTGCTTCTTGTTCTTTACTATATATATTAATGAGTAATTTTCCAGAGATCCCTCAGATTCAGAAAATCCTCAAGATCCCATTGAACCTTTGCAATTCCATCCCCTTAATTGCTCACCTTTCTCATCTGTTCGGAAATGCTTTTCAACCTTAATGTACTAGACAGTTAACATTTAGATTTTCCCTTCTTTTTTCTTGATGTAATTGCAGCAAAGCAAAAAGATTGCTGATGCTAAATTAGCAAAAGATTTTCAAGCAGTTTTGAAAGAATTTCAGAAGGCTCAGCGGCTTGCGGCTGAGAGGGAAACGGCATATACTCCTTTTGTTCCCCAAGCAGTCCTTCCTTCCAGGTGATTATTTTAGGAGACCTTAATAGTTGTTATGTGAGATTTTAGATTCCTGTTTTTTCTTTGCTATAATGAACCTTTTGTTTTGATAAAATGAAATAGATTTGCAATGTTTGTATATTCTTCTAACATTTTATGTTTGTTCGTGCTCTGTGCAGCTACACAGCCAGTGAAATAGATGTAAGTTTAGATAAAAGTCCAGAACAACGTGCTCTCCTTGTGGAGTCAAGAAGGTGAGATCCTCTCACGAACACAGGCTACTAATAACCTTTTCATTTTTTTGTCCTTACTTTTAGAGAATTTATCAAGCCATGTATCTTTTCTATCACCATTCCTTGTTCATGGTGTTGAAAATGCTGGGTATTTTTTAAACAAGTTTATATTTTAGAACCAGCAAACATTTGTAGGTTTTTCAAAAACTGTCAGGTCACCTTTAGCTGCATACACTTTTTATTTTTATCATTGATTCTAAAATCTGTCGGACCGAAGGGATATTGTGCATGGAGAGGTTTTCTAGGACAGAAATGTGTATAGAAGTCTTGTCATCTGGAAGTTTGCAATAGGATTGATTAATGGTGGCCTCCATGCTTCATCTTCGAGATGAGAAATTAGTTTGTAACTTCACAGCCCTATCATGTACTCTCCAGAAAAACTGTATACAAGAGTTGCCTCTGATTACAATTCAGAGGTAGCCCAGGACAGACTATTAAAAGTAGGATCATCCCTTTCTTTTTATTGAATAATCCTGTTGCTTAACTTGCTTTGTACTTGGCTTTTAATTGACTTGAAAGAAAAGAATTCTGAGCTTTGAATTGAATTTTGATGCAGACAGGAGGTCCTACTACTGGACAATGAGATTGTCTTCAATGAGGCTATTATTGAGGAGAGAGAACAGGGAATACAAGAAATTCAGCAGCAAATTGGTGAGGTGAATGAGATTTTTAAAGATCTTGCTGTCCTTGTCCATGAACAAGGAACTATGATTGGTAAGTTATATATTGTCTGTGAACAAAGAACTTGCTTCATATATTTTGACTCATTATCATTATTAAACTTTCCTTTTTCTGGGTATGCTGCAGATGATATTGGCTCCCATATTGAAAATTCCCAGGCTGCAACAGCACAGGGAAAATCCCAACTTGTGAAAGCTGCAAAGACTCAAAGATCAAATTCTTCTCTGGTAATTTATGGCACCTCATTTATTTATTCCCATTTTGATTGTTATCATCAATACTATTGCTGGTGGTGGTGGTGGTGCTGTTTATTTTTGTGACCGAAGTAAATTACAGAGTGCTGACATGCCTTGTGTGGATCCCTGTTTGTTTGTTTTTTATTTTTTATTTTTGTACTGACCTTTTCTCTTTATGTTTCTTGTTTAATTGATTGGACACTCCTAATCCAGAAGGGGTTTGCTATCTAAATGCCATCTGCATTTTCAAGTTGATAAATGCATTTTCTTTTTCATAATTTAAGAATATGAGCTGTTTCTTTTATGCAAAATATTCCATCAAATTTTGATGAAGGAAATGGTATATTGCCATTGCTTCAAGTTGGAGATTTTCATTCTAGATGTGGATTCCCCTCAATTTAACGTAATTATATTCACAATTAACCCCTGCGTCTTGAATGCAGGCCTGCTTGCTCTTGGTGATATTCGGGATTGTGATTCTCATTGTGATCGTAGTACTTGCTGCATAATCCAAAAATTTTCTTGATACAATCCTTGGAACTATTTCAAGAGCTGCTTGGCAACAATATAGTATTCTCTATGCTAATTCCTTTATGTTCTTTCACAAGACATGGCGACTGACTGGAGTGTCCCCCTGCTAGTCAGATGGTATGATGTCTGCACGTGATCATTTTAGGCAATTCTGTCTGGGTGGAGTGTCTGTTTGTTTCTATGTTCTGCTGCCTTGGGTTTACAAGGGTGTGTGACAGTTTGTGTAATTGTTTCAAGTTTTATAGAAATTTTAATAAACTAAACATTTATTCTTTTTTTTTTTAATCACTCCCGTATTATCTTCCCGTAATTCTTCACTTGCATCTTCACTAGCTTGCTTATTTTGACAATAGGGTTATCATTTTAACACGGTTTGACCACAGTTTTGGGAAAATAGAATAGTTGATGCTTCAAAATTGGTGTTTCATTCAAATTAATTAAGATGTATAGAAGTTCTTTAAATTTTTTATAAAAATTTAATGGCTAAGAGATGAGATTAAAGATTCAAGGTGTTGAAAATGAAATATCGTGTGTTTTTCTTTCTTTCTTTTTTCATTGCTTTTTCCTGCTATATTATTTTTTTGTTTATTGACCATTAAATCCTGAATTTTACTTTTTGGTCATTAAATTTTCATAAAATATTGGGTTAATTTTTATTCAAGTTAATTAATTTACATAAAACCTGCAATTTAGTTTTAATTAAACAACAATAAATAGCGGTTGGTTGGAGACTGTATTATTTTTCAAATACTTTCCAATCTAAATCTTTCCCCTAAAACTTTTTCCAAGCTCTATCATTTTTTTTATTTTAAAAAAACCTGCTCTTGGAGATGTTCATTGGTCCATAAATTGTCTGAGGTCAAAATTGTTTAACGCGTGTGGTTATCGGATTTTCTGCAGTCACCGTCATCTTATTAATATTTTTTTTAACTGACGGTGTTTGCTAGAAATTTTGGTTTTATAGAAAATGTTATCAGAATTTATGCGATGTCAACTCATTGGATCTATTGTCATGGAAGAGGTCTTTGAAATGAACTGGCATGGAAGAGGTCCGAGTTTGATGATGACATGGTGCGTTATGGAAACGTCAAGTGGCCTCAGAAAGTTTAAGAAGAAGTGATTCTTGGCGATAATTCTCGCATATCATTTGTTGTCCTCTCATTGGACAAAGGAGTCCTCTCGAGGCTTGTCTATTCTATTTCAGCTGGAAGGGTTGCGCTTGTCAACTTCAGAAAAAAATGACAAAAAAATAATGGAGAGGAAAGCTAGTTAAGCAACCTTGAGCGATGCGTACAAATGAGCCAAGCCAAAACCATCGGGCCAGGCTAGAAGGTAGAGATTGACAATGATATTACCTCCTTTTGATGACGGGGGAACTTGTATAATAAGAAAGACCTGCCTTAGGGAGCAAGATAAGGCACCGGTTGCTAGTTGTTCCTGGGGCTCTTCCCTGACCTTTCAGGGTGAAGGCCTGTGTCCGCGAGAAAACGATGGAAAAAGACAGAAACATTGGTGAGCTTCATCTGGAACGAGTTTGCATTGGTTTTACAGCAGGCGCTAAAAGTCCTGCCGATTGAAAACCTGGATGTCTCTTAGCTGCTGGTATCAACTAACAATGCATGACCGAATTAATCCTATTCCTGTGCTGGGGTGTTTTTTTGCAGTTATTTGAGGCATCTTTAAGTGCCATTACTTCGAATGTTGAAGTAAATTTTGAAAAAGCAGATAAAAAATTTGCAGAAATAAAAATGGATGATGTGCTGAGCTACAACAGAATCGCATGCAGAATGAAAAAGCAGATAAAAATTTTGCAGAAATAAAAATGGATGATGGTGCCGAGCTACAACAGAATCGCATGCGGATGCCATAACACCAAGAGAAAGGAAAATTGCTCCACAAATCTTTCCAGAAAATGCTAGCACACCATGAGAAAGGAAAATTACTCCACAAATCTTTCCAGAAAATGCTAGCATGGCAAGAATTTAGAACAAAACTATGATTATTTCAAATTGTTGCACAGTTTACTATCAGAGTAAAAGATGGATGCGAGGACAATTAAAAGAGTAGATGTAGAGGCCGCAAGAAAAGTGACAGCGGATACAATTCCAGTATGCGCCCTTATTCCAGAAGGTATTCTCCACACAAAATCCGCGGTTCTGAGTCCCACCATGTCATTGGTAGGCATAAGTAAGCAGCTCCCATTCTCCCCATTTCCTTCCATGCTGCAGCTCAGGAATAAATCCAGGGGCTCCAAGAGACAGAGACATCAGGCAGTTTCCAAACAGATTTATGATTGCTCATTTTGATATTGTTGCTTTGATGACACAGCAATGCTCTACTCTCTTCAACATTTCACTATTTCCTTTCACTTACTGGATACCGAGCATGCAATGAAATACTGTATCAATCAGTTTTTCGACGAAATATTTGTAGTCTGAGATGAGATTGTTTTGTTTTCCTGTCTCAAGCCTCTTCTAAGCCACAGCAAAGCCCATAAACAACTGAAGATGGTTACCTTCTCGTTTCGAATAAACTAGTTTGGTTGCTCTGAGTACCGTGACTAATTTTAAATTGGAAAAACTTTCCCATTCTTGTATTTCTTTTTTATTTTTTAAAAGCATCTTGGGAAACATTAGAACAATAAATCCAGGGAAATAATTTGAAGATTTACAATAAAAAGATTGAGAAAATATATATTTTATTTTCATTCAATATTAACAAAAAAATTGTTTTAAAAGTTTTGCCTATCAAGTTAATACATAATTATTTATAAAAAAACTGATGATATCATCATAAAAAGACATGATTTTTTTTTTACTAGTAGTATGTATTTTGAATGAAAATCAGAAAAAAAGGTTTATTAAAAATTTTATTCATCTCAAATAAGTAGTAAAAATATAATTTTTTTAATATAAACATCATTACCTTATTAATACATCCTTTTATTTTATTTTATTTTTAATGAAGTCATGTTTCTTTTTCTTTTTACTTGTAGAATTTTTAAATTCCCTGACCAGTGCTAGTGTAGATTAAAAAAAAAACACCATCATTGTATCAAAAGCTAGTTTTAATAAAAGAATATTAAAGTAACATCTTAATATTTTGTTTTGATTGTAGGAAAAAAAACTCAATTAATATGATAAAATAATGTTAAAAATATATTAAACATAACATAAACAGAAAAATTACTTTCATTCAATATTCATGAAATTTTTTTATCTGTTTTTCATATGAAATATACAATAATCAAGAAAAATTTAACATTTTAATAAGAACCCATAAAAATTATTTTTAAACTATGCTAAAATTAAATAATAGTTTAGATATCATGTTAAATACTTTATTTATAAAGCATATGAGTTAAAGATGTAAAGAGAATTGAAGAAGTCAAGTGTCTGAACCTAAAATACTTTGACAACACGCCAAATCTTTTATATATATATATATATATATAAGGACATAAATTTTTAAAAGAAAATAAACAGACGAGTTATCTATTTATTAATTCAATTTGTTGGGCTGTATTTGTTTTGGACTAAAAAATCCATTTTTTTTTATCTAAAAATATATAATAAAAACCCTAAGAATGATAATAAAATTTTTTTATTGTCTAACACACATGCTTTAATTCAATTTATAAGCTCAATATACCGTTAAGTTAGTAAAAAAATACAAAATTTTTTATTGTCTAACACACATGCTTTAATGAAAGTTTAAAACACTTTAATAATACTCCTTTGTAAAGAGAACCAATAACACTAGAATATCTCTTTCTATGGTTAAAATATGGCCACTAAAATTTCTACCTTCTTTTATACTTCTTTTTGGCACCTCTTCATCTTCTTTTGAAATTCAGGGACTAAAATATAAAATAAATAAAGTTTGGTATTGAAATAGAAAACACGAAGAAAAGGGACAAAAAGGGAACAATTAAAACTTTAGGGCTCAACTATAATTCTCCACACCAAAGTCAAAAGAGGGCTACATTTATTTGGCTGGATTAATGTTAGTTCTTGTTGTTTTAATTTTCCAAAATTGATAAAATGAAATCCTATTTTGCAAATTTGCAGTCTAATGTTGTTGCATTTTAGGGACCAAAACAAACGTGAATACAATGTTGAGTGTGAATTGAAAGAAATCAATTGTGTTATGATCCCAGAAATATAATGTGAGAGGATGAAACCGAAACAAAATTTATTAAACCGAAATTGATGAATTTGACGTGTAAAAAAAAGAAAAGGCCTGTGTCTACCACCACATCGCAGTGAACACGACAAAAGGCCTGATCTGATTGCTTTTCTGAATAAAATAATGTACAATGTATAATGAATAAAGTGTAATCAAGTTCACTACGTCTACTACTGTCTTCACGCCTCTCCTCCCTCCGCTTCTAAATCTTTCCCGCTCAGTAAAGTGTCCATCTTTTAGCACAGAAAACACAGAGAAAAGAGAATGAACAGTACATCACCAACAAATTCATCAGTATCAACAACAGCAATTATTGGAGGTGGAGGAGGAAGTAATAGCAATGCTGCTTTGGATGATTTTCATTTCCCTTCTGATTTAATTTCCATCCAAGACCGCAAAGATGAGGCGATGCTTGGTTTGTTTTGTTCTCCCTCTTCAATTTCAATCTTGAAATATGAAATTTGTCCATCTGGGGCGTTATATTATTGCATGATCCACGCGAATTTCGAATTTTTTGGTCGTGGGCTTAGGCATTTTTGCAGGGAAGATTTTTTTTGTCCATCTGGGCTATTTAAAAGCTGAATAATTTGTTTGGGTTCTGGTTTATTCTTATGGAAATTCATTGCTTTGTTATCGCGGCATTAATATTTCTGTATTCCCTGTGTTGGGTTGTGGACATGTTGCTATTTTTGTGATTATTTGATTCTAGCAATCAGAATCAGTCTTATATGGGTCCTCATCTGCATAATTCATGGATTTTCTATTTCTTTTCTCTAGGGTTTAATATACATGGTACCGAGATTTTGGGCTTATTCATGAACTCGTTGTCGTGTTACTAAGAAAATAAGGGGAATGAAATCTATGCGGGGCAAAGAATTCTCATGTTTATGCTGCTCATCATGAAATGTTGGCTCTTATATATGTATTTACTTTTTAAGGAACAAATCGAACTCATTGACAGAATAAGTTTACGCTCGCATCTTGATTTTTGATCTTTTAAAAATAGGACTAAGCCAAGCGATTCCATTAGTATTGGTCTAGTGGAGGATATCATTTATTTTACCGTCAAAAGACAAAGTTTGTATCTTTAATTTGAGTTCTTTCATCCAGCTCAATCGATCCATTTTAATTAGCCTGTCTATTAATTTTCCTCGTTTCTAGAGATACTTTTGTTGTTAGTCGCCCTCTCAAGTTTTATCTTACTTGGATATATGAAATTCAAGGGCTTACCCTTTCGCCTTTGTTCTTGCTTCACCCATTTTGGTTATAAAACAAGACAAGAAAGAAATGTATTTCGGAACTTTAATGTTTTCCTCTGTTCTGTCTCTAAAAGTGACCTTTGAAAGTAAACAGGAAGGCTCTGTTCTGTCTCTAGAAGTGACCTCTGAAAGAAAACAGGAAGGCCCCAAATCCAATTAGTGAAACACCAACAATTTTAATCACTATAAGTATCATCTCAGCTGATAGCAACTGAATGGAGTGTTTATTGCTCATAGAAGTCCTTTTGTTCTTCTGTTGCAGCACTAAAAACTGATCTGATGGCTGCACTTAACAAGGAGGTTAAATCCTTGGATGAAGATAACTGGAAGTTTGAAGGGCCTCGTTCTCGTATTAACCTTATATCAAGACCAGGTTAGTCTTTCAACCCACCAGTTACCTTTACTTTCATACTCTTTCTCCAACTTGTGCTGGGTAAATTTGAGCCATAGATAACACTGGCCTTTAGTGATTTATTTGCCAGCTGTGTCTTTATCTTAGAACAGCATCACTTCACTGGAATATTACAAGTGCCAGTGATATCAGCTGCTTCATTGTGGTGGATCTCTGGTCACATGCCACTGCCATCTTTCTAGGGTTCATCTAAAACATGCTTGAAAGATTTGCAGATAACTTTATTAGCTGGTATAATGGTAGCAATGGGTTCTGTGTTGGATTTTCACATCCCATTATCATAAAAACTCATGATGCGTAAAATGCATTTTAATGCCTTTATCTCCCAATTAAACTTTAGATAGAAAAGGAAAATAATGGTCATGAGGGAGAAAGAGTTTGTCAAAAAGCTCCAAATGTAGCTCCTATGATTTGTAGACAAACGCAAATATTATACTTTATCTCTGTGACTGGTTGGCCAATAGGGCATCTTCTTGCTTCTGGACAACAATTCACAGATAAATTGTTTGTGGTTGTATCTGTAAACTTTTTGTAAGATTGAATAATTAAATCACACTAGCCGATTCCCCAATTTATTTATCAAAACAAATGGGGATCATCTATACACGATGGATGCTAGATAAAAAACCAGCCTTTGTTGTTATTACCACTTATATTCTCCTGCCTATCCCTTATATCGTTGCCTGCCAAGTGCTTTGACATTTGTCCAAGAGCATAAAAGAAATATTGAACCTACTTCTGGAGCTGTAATTCATTTCTTAAACATGTTAGAAAATTATGGAACAGATATTGAGGAGTATCTGATCTGCATCAGTATCTTTCCATTTAACTATCCTTGTTACCTCGCGTTTTGTTTTCTTATTATTTTCCGTGGGATCCTATTGAATCATGTAGATGAAAGTAAACCATGAGTCTTAGGCCTGGTACAGGCCTTTGAATCCCGCTTTGTTTGTGAACAGCAGGTTGAACTCCCTGAGATTTCTACATTGAAACCTTCTTAATTTCAGTCTTTGTTCATTGTTATTTAAGGATTTGCTATTTGTCTTTTTTATGGATCCTAATGCAGGTGGATTTCTAAGCAAGAAGTTGGAAATAACAAAGAAAAAGAACTTGGCCTTGCCGAAATGATGTAATTCTTCAGACAGCCTGCATCTTTTGCATCAATTGACTGTTGGTATATCTCTATTAATTTGATGGCAAATATCTGTTATTTTATTCTAGACTTGGCGATTCATGTGTTGTTGGCCTGTGTTCTGAAATGCTTCCAAATAAATCTGTTGCCCAGACTACAAATAAGTTACATCACTAACAAGCCAATGCACTAAATTGGAACAGGATTTGAGAAGAGAAACAATTATAAGTTGATCAAATTCCAAGACGAAAAGAACCAATGCCATGACAGTCCTGTCGGCCTGCTAGGGATTTCTTTGCTCTGTCCAAAGTGACGGGGCCATACACCTGATTTAGCTCAGAGCACATCAACAGTTTTGTTCCCCTTTGACTGTAAATTTTAGGCCTATCGCTCTTTTCTTTGCTCTGTCCAAAGTAACGGGGCCATACACCTGATTTAGCCCAGAGCACATCAACAGTTTTGTTCCCTTTTGACTGTAAATTTTAGGCCTATCGCTCTGAAGTTGTTTTTCTTGGTTGAACCAATCTTGCAACCAACTCTATGATGCTTCTAAAACACAAACCTTGGAGTTGAGGTCGAAAAGGGTTTTCAGAAGACGAATATGTACCATAACATGCTCCAAATAAACAATTCAAGAAACATAATCTAACAAACTCGAAGGCAATAACACAAATTTCCACTGCCTCAGCCGTCGGGAGCAAAAAAGAGTTGGCCAAACAGATTTTGTTACACGAAGTTTCAAATCTTGCAGCTCGTGATTTTGAACAGGGATTGAAATTGAGTCAGCAAATACTTGAAAATCAAAGATAAACAAATAATTTTTTGGAAGTATATAGTAGTGTGTGGGGTCTTGATGGTAGAAAAACACAGTGATCTTTAGTTGGGTATTATGTGAGTGGAAGTGATCAAATGATCACTAGTCATTGTAAACCTTTTATGCTTTACATCATTAAAAATAAAATCCAAGGATTCTGGACCGTCTCCATTAACAGTAGGGTTGATGCAGCCAATCTCCATTTTTTTATTAACACAAATAAATGTCTTCTTTTATAGAAGAAAACAAACGAATGAATCTTCTCCGTAAGTAGCAGTGAGCTCGTTTTAATCATGTTTCTTGCTTTCATGCATATATGCATAGCTCGCAATTTGGTCGCTATTTCGATATCAATTACTATTATTATTATTATTATTATTATTATTTTATTTACATGGGGTGTTTGGGCCAGCTTGCGTTCACCACAACTAATCCTCATAGCCCACTGAATACCCTGCAAACCCAGTAGGCATGTAAGGCACCGCGAGGGTGACAGACATGCACGCCAGAGCTTGAACTCAAGTGCAGTGAAAGGAGACAAACCCCTTCCACCGCTAAGCCAAGCTATTATTTTGAGAAGGTGGTTGGTGGTGTATGAAAATGTCTCTTTGAAAATGTAGCAGAAGCTTCGGGTTTTTGTTTTGAAATGCTTCATCATTTTAAAACAATTTAAAAATACAAAAGGCTCGTTTTAATCATGTTTCTTGTTTTCATGCATATATGCATAGCTCGCTTGTCGCTATTTCTACCTCAATTATTACTATTATTATTATTATTATTTTTATTTACGTGGGGTGTCTTGGCCAGTTTGCGCGCACCACGACTAATCTTCACGGCCCACTGAATACCCTGCAAATTCAGTATGCATGTAAGGCACAGCGGGGATGACAGGCGTGTACGCTAGGGCTCGAACCCAGGTGCAGTGGAAGGAGACAAACCCCTTTCATCGCTAAGCTAAGCACTGGAATGCAAATGTCTCTTTGAAAATGTAGCAAGGCTTGGGTTTTTGTTTTGAAATGCATTATCATTTTAAAACAATTTAAAAATACAAAAACAAATGAAATAAATAAAAAATCAAAAATATAATTGGATCACAATATTAAACAAGATCAAAATCTCCCAAAAATAGCTAAAATATACCTTTCTTACCGTGCAGGCGGAGAGCTAGCTGGTCAAAACAAAGCAAGATTGAAGATCCCCCACCAAGCCAAGACCCAATTTGGTGGTCTCATCTCATGAATTGAAAGCACCGATGGAGCTCTTCAAGAATCATTAGGAGTCATTTAGAGTCTCTTAAACCCTTCCAATTCCAAATGATAACTCTTAATTAGCATCGCAGATAAATTATGTAATCACTCGTGTGATTAAATTTGGTGGCATTTTAGACACAAGCACTACTCCTTTCTTCTTTTTCTCAGGCACACAAATTACTACTAGCCTGTAAAATTTTTTATTTTAAGGAATTACTCTATTCACTATAACAGCATTGGACCCTAATCTAAATAATTACATGGATATTTTGGACATTTAACCTAATTAATCCCTGAAAAAAGAATCTTTGGGGAGCATGGGATGACCCGAGAATTTTCTGATTCTTGCAAAAAGAGCAGAGAAAATCTGAACAGATAAACTAGTAGAATCCGAGAGATAATGCTTCACAGAAGATATATAGCTAGTCTGTTACTAGCCTCAGCTTTATTATTAATTTTGTGAAAGAAAAATCCTTTGGAAAACCTTTTATCAATAAATCTGAAACTCCATATTTAGAACTCAGCTCTTGTGCAAAACCAGCATCATCTTCATGGCACGCACGCATTTCCTCCTGGTTCACATCATCACTGCCACTGGCTCGAAGGGTTTCCATTTTTTTTTCAAAACAAAGCAGAACATCATGCAGTGATCCTCTTTCCATGTGCTCCATTGCAAAGTACAAGTCATCCTCACTATCAAAAACAGCATGGCACTGGACAACGTAAGGTGAATCCACGCGTCTAAGGATCTCTGCCTCCCTTCCTGCTTGTTGTCGAATTATGGTGGAGTTTCGGTCGAAACGGAGGGTTTTCAATGCAAATATGGAGGAGCTGCGTTTGTGCCGTACTTTATAGACCGTGCCACTATTGCCATGGCCAAGAACCGCCAGTTTTTCCAGGTCTGAGAGCTTCTCTATGTTTGGAGAATCTGGACTAATGGTCAATGAAAATGACGGCAAATGGATCTGATGCCGGAAGTCAGCTGCAGGTATGGTTGGTGGTAGGGATAGCCTTAGTGGTTGTTGGTGCCTTCTCTCTCTCACGAAAGTCATTTTCACACCTCTTGCTTCTTCTCTCATCTCTGTGCCCAGACACTAAGCAACATTGTGGATAGGTACGGCAAAACCTTAGCCTAGCCGTTATATACACATGCGACTAGAGAGCTTTTGGGGGCACACACGTGCATGCTTGGCTACAGGGGGGTAACAAGTGGCTGTAGCAATCGCAACATCCACGGACAGGTGAGGTTTTTTCTGGTGACGTCCCCGCTAATCTCTGGCGAGGTTCTTGCGTCGAGTTTCTTTCTACACTGCCATCTGTTCTTTTTTAACTGTCAATTTTTACACTGAAGTCACCCATTTTCGTGGTTATCGTGAAACATTTGACTATATATATATATATATAAACTCTCATCATCCATGGTTTACGTACGTACGGGGTTGCAATTACTTCCAAAGATTTGGAAAGAAAGCAAGAAAGCAAGCAAGCAAGGCAAGGTGCAGCCCAGGTGTCATGGAAATGTATAAATTTTCTACCATAAAAATAAATATATATAAAAAGAACAGATTTTATTCCATTGAATATTAAATAAATGCTGTTCTGATTTAAAACGAGAACAACAACTCCTAAAATAAGGGATTGTACGGTCACGGCAGGATGCCACATGATCAGTCATTGGGATCCTAGGAGTTCGAAGTGAAGGTAAGGCCATGCAGAGTCCGATTATCCTTAAATACAGTAGAAGAAACACGTGTTTTGGTTGGGTTCGTTGTGCCTATGCTATGTTAAGCTCTATATATTTTTGCCACGGGCATATTTTTATTTTTTTAATATGGATTTTTGTACTTGTATGTGTCAATTAATTTTATAAGTTTTAACAACTATATAAATCTTCACTAATCCTTAAAAAATTAAATTTATAATTATTAAAAAGCAAATTCAAAACCTTACTTGTTGAACTAATTTTAGATTAAGGTATCTTTATTCTTGGCCATAATACTTACAAGCATAGTACACTTCAGGTCTAAGATCTTTCCACATAACAAACAACCAAATATTTCTTGAGGTCAGGTAGGGTTCAATGCATATCACCACGCTATGCACTATAGATCAACAAATGTCGGTGATGAATTTAGTTCTTGATAAGTATATACTCGAACTGGAATAGGATACCGAGTACTATTGATCAATTAGACCAACCAAACCGCCAACAATTTACTTTATCATGCAACGTACCAAACCAAAGAACAGATCCCACTTTTACCAGGCAATGGGAAAAGAGCAGCGCCATTGAGTAATAATACCACCACATGAACAGAAGGTGACCCATCACGTTTTCCAAGGCAATCCAAACCTCCAGTACACGAAAATTATCCAGATTGGCTTCGAGTTGGTTTATATAGGCCCCCCCCCTTGCCTTCCTCCTCCCTAAATAGGCCACAAAATCACTAGAACCAAATTACGAGCAATCTGTTCATTAATACAAGAACAATTAAATTGATATTCTGCTCAACAATTAACCTTTCATCCTAAACCAAAAGCAGCCTATGCAAATGTATACTTGGACCATGTTACAGAAGACAATTATCTCATCTTCCCCATTGCTATAAAAGATAACTTCAGTTCCGAACAAGTGAGGCCTGGTCAACCTTCTCAATTGCGCGGATTTACCATACTCTCACCAATAATCACCTTACCTGCCTTTCAGAGAGTCGAAACAACCCACAATCTGTTTTTACACTAAAATCCCATCCAAGAGTGTACCGAATTGAATTATTGCTTCTGAGTTCTGACACCAGTCATGCCATCCCTCCTACTTTTCAGATGTTGCCGAAGATAAAGCAAAACAATTCCGACCAGTACACCCTCATCAAGACTTCTATAAAGTGCCCCAGACCACTAACTCTAAGTAACCTTAAGGTAGCACTGATTAATGCATGCGTTTTTCCATAAAGGTAAAGTAGCAAGAAGTCCACAAGAACGAAAGGAAGAAAAAGAAAAAAAACCGCGGAAGTGAATTGCTTTGCAACAAAGGCTACGCATTCACGAATAGGATTAATTGACAGGTACAAAAGATGGAAAACCAAAACTATGGACTTAAAAGATAGCATAATGTTTTTTGAGGTCTAGAGCCTCTCACAAGATGTAGAGGGGAAACGTTCAAATTAAAAAAAATTGAAAAAAAAGAAAAGAAGAGAACTTTAGGTCTCCACATGTGCAAAAAATAAAAACTATTGCTGGAACAGGAACCAAAAGCATCGATTTGTTGTTCCAATGGCCTAAGGAGTAGGCCCATCTGATTATCAAGGTTAAAAGTTTATCTAGGCGGTTTAACTATTACGGTTTGAAAGAAAGGTACATTTGATGTGCGAGATTAAAGCTGCTTGCGATCTGATGAGAGAAGTCCCATTTGTTCTGTCAGCTGATCCATATGCTGAGCTTTGTCCCACTCGTTTATAATTTGATGTACATCATTTCCATTGGCTTTACCTTCCATAGAACTTGATTCAATATCCTCAGGCACTGGACTCTGCGCAAGAAGGTCATCCCAGAAGCTAGAATTATCAAGCAAAGCATCGATATCAGGATCAGGGGAGATGTTGTCAATATCTATGGGTATTGTATCATTAATTCCAAGTGAAGCTGGATCTAGGAACACATCGCTGCTTGTCTCTGGTTCCATGTAATCTTCACCAGGAATATCAGCAATAATTTCTGGCACCATTTCTGGCTTTTGAGAAACCTGGGGCATGATTATATCTGCCTGTGGAATAGGTATGGAGGGTGCTCCTTGTCCTCCAACCAGTATACTTTCTGGAAACTGAGAAGCTGTAGCCTTTTCTGAGCTAGCAATTTGCGGGGAAGATTGTATTTCAGATATGGCAGCCATGGGGCCATGCCCAGAAATCCCAGAAGCTGCTGGGACCTCTTGAAGAGTCACTCCTGACATGCGGCTTGAAGAGCTTCCGTTGTCTTTTGCACTAGATGATGGTGAACCATTGCCAATCAGGAAGCCATCAAGATTGTTGTCATAAGATTCCAACCTAGAAGGAGCATCCATTTTCATGACCTGCCTGAGCATTGCTTTGGCTGCCTCGTTCATCTGAGGCTGATACTTCACAATCTGTCCATCAGGAGCACTAGAACCCTCATTCTCAGAAACACCCTCCTGCTTGAGCCTTCGTTTTTTGTTGGCTTCTGTTATGCGCCTGTTGCTTTCATTTTGCTGCTGTACAAACTGAGCCAGGAAGCCTGGGCTCTGCATAGCCTTTGCCAGGAATGACATCATCTGTTGCTGACGCTGCTCCATCCCTTGAAGTCGCTGAACCATGGCTTGCAACTGGCTATCTGTGGACTGTTGCTGCTGCCTCAACCTAACAAGTTCTTGCATAAGAACATTCTTGTCCCTCTTAAGCCTCTCTACCTCTTCCTCAAGCCCAAATTTTCCAACCTCAACACACGCGCCAACAGTTGAGTTCTGTCCACGAGTTTGTTGCGGCTGTTGATTAGCATGTCCATGGGCAGGTTTTCGCCGACTGATAGTCCTAAGCAGGTGCTTCTGACCCCTCAAAAATCCTTCATTGGCGAATTCCCAACGGTCTGGATCCACCTTTCGAAAACCCTGTTTGAAAATAGAGACAACAGTGTACAGAAAGATTAAGTCCAAAACAAGCAAAACAAAAACATGCAAATCACATCAGCACTGCCCTGTCTGGTAATATCTTGTGGAGAACAAAAATAGCTTAGGCTTGGTGTTACAAACAGTAAACATTACTAGAGGATAACAGGCAAGGATTAGTTCTCCTTTAGCTAAACTCAATAAGCAGTTTTGGAACCCTTCTTGTAGCATAAGAGGAGCACTCCTATTAGCTTTTTGCACATAGTGCAAGGAATCTAACTTCAAGGAAAGCAGTATTAGATTTGGCTGCTTACTATAGGTAAATGAGCATGGAAGTTTTCCTTGACTTCCTAGTATGTTGATCACTTCTTGGCTTGCCAAGGGTAGAAAAGCAAAAAATTGCTAGTGCCAGAGGTTTGAGAGAGATGAAGTGGCAACAAGAGGTGGGATGAAAATATTTCAAAAAGAGGGTTGCTTCCAATAGATCATGCGCAAAATCTCCTTGCAATGTTTCCTGGAGTTCAACAAGGAAATCACAGTGTACAGTCATAGACAACAAGCGAGCAGTACCAGGCTGGCTTGGTAAAGTCAAAGTACCTTATTAGTTCATAAAATAATCAAACATCAAACCAACAAGAATTTTTCTCCAATTATTGTAGCTGGTTATTAAATGTGCCCTCAACCTAAGAGCTGAGCTACAAATTCAAACCATTAACAGCATCAGGGCTTCATTTATTAAGAGAGCATCGTTTTCTTAGCTTTCCCATCCATGACTAGACAGACAATAACTGGGAAATGATATTGCACAAGAGAAAAAGTATTCAAACGAGGTTGAGGAACCTCTCCTCTATTGAGAAGCTGATACCAGAGCACCAAGCTAAACAGTAATAATAGCAAAGGACACTAGCCATTACTTATAATTATAAATGAAATCAAACACACTTAACTCAATAGATTGTCACACATGGCTAACAGGCATCATGCCATTTCATGATTACTTGCTCGTGGTAAAAGCATTCCAACTATTGTAGGGAGTACAATGCCCCCCTGTATTCCGAGAAAGGAAACTGCATTTCCCCTTGATTTAAAATAAGTGCGAGAATTGCTTTGACACAATATTGAAATTGAAAGGATATGCTCTTGCTGAGCTTCCACATGCAGCAAGAGATAATACTGACACCTTTTCTAGACAGCTTGGGATATTTTGCCAGAATTTCTTTGACGTAATATCAAAGTTTAAAGGATAAGCTCTTGCTGAGCTTCCACATGCAGCAAGAGATAATACTGACACCTTTTCTAGACAGCTTGGGAAATTTTGCCAGAATTTCCTTGACGTAATATCAAAGTTTAAAGGATAAGCTCTTGCTGAGCTTCCACATGCAGCAAGAGATAATATTGACACTTTGACTAGATAGCTTGGAAAATTTATTCTGACCTCTCTTGGTTTCACTTAGAAATGGAAATAAAATTAAAAGAGAAGAGGCATTAATAACCTTTTTATCCTGTATGGTCAGCATAAGGCACACTTCTATTTTCTTGTTCAGTTTCTGCTCCATTTGGTTGCTGAGAATGTAGGGAGACAACCAATTAAAACTTTAAACTTGAACACATCCATTCTTTGTCTCTTCTCACTTGATTGAAGAATTTTTCATAGTGCACAAAAACATAAAGTACTTGTAATAATTTTTTGGACTTGTAATAAAAATAAAATAAGTACCTGTAATAATTTTTTTTCTCCCTTGGATCTCTTAGCAACCAATAGGAGGATTTATAATATTTTCGTTATTTTCACAAGTGTGTTAGTATAGCCTAGCCCTTTACTTTCACTTGAAGTCATCCACCACTAATCATAACAAATTAATTCCAAATTCCCTACCCAAAGTAGATCATTGAAATAAATTCCTATCCCTCCAAAAAAAAAAAAAATCCAAAAAGCAAGAGACAGAAACCTACATATCTTTCCTTCTTTAATCTCAGCGCTCGTGGTTCTTAGATAGCCCAATTAATTCATTTCCAAACTTTAAAATATATCCTAAAAAACTAAAAGATATACCTAATTACCCCAAAAAAGTATCATAATAAAAAACCAAAACCATAGTCACTGATGACTGATGTCCCCAGTGACAGAACAGAGATCAGTCTTCTTCCTTCTGATGCTCATGCATGCAACTACTTGCCAAGGCTATGCAGTTGCAGAAAATTGTTCAATTCAAGTAGCACAAGAGTTTCAAAGAAGGGAGAGAAGAACAACTTAAAAAATCAAGTGGGTCGCTAGTTAAATGAGATTTTCACCACAATCAAATCACAGCTTTCCCTGTCACCAATTTTCTCACACTGAACAAGAATGATTACATTTTGCAAGTTTGCAAACCCCATTCCAATTATTTCACTTATCTATATAACATCAAAATCTGTTGCAAATAACTTAAACAGGCAAATCAACCACATTCACCAGCGAACACTACAGAGATTCATTCCTCAAAATTCCTACATAAGCTTCAAACTATTTATAAGGAGCATCCCTTCTTCCATCCCTTGACATCTTCAATGATCAAGCATCGAATTCACTATTGTAATGAAAATCTAACCCACAAGCGCTTTTCTGTAGATGAAAATGGTTCCCTAGTTCATAACAAATAAACATGGATCATCACCATTTACATTCAACAGCAATATCGTGTCCTGAAAGGAATATCCCTGAGACTACAACAAGCTGATAGAACATACCACAAACACGCCCCTATCCTTCCCCAACGTTTTTGTAAGAAATGAGTTCAATTCTTGCAAGAATACAAACTCTACTCACACTTAGTAAATTGTGGTCTACACTGAACAGAAACTAAGCCATGACTGCCTTTTACCATCCTAACTAGAAGCAAATCAAACAACTCCACTGACTACCAGATATCAGCAAGCAATCAACTGAAAAGAATAACAGAATCACAAATCAAACTTATTAAAAAATACCTAAAAGAAAATACGTCAACAGATTAGAAAGCAAAATGCAATTGAAATGAAGAAAAATCCAAAAATATATAGAGAGAGAAATAAAGAAAGCGAAATCCATACGTATGTATTAAGTTGCCTAACAAAGCTGGAGAAGTTATTATGCTTAAAATACTTCGGCAAAAGATCGCGAGCGAACTCCGGCGGATTCCAAACCACAAAACTGTTATTCGTCGAACTCCAAGACACCACGGCGTCGGTCTCCGGGTCGTCTACCATGTCGTAAGTCTTACTCAGAAATGGCGGCGGAGAATTTGACTGGGACGCCATCGGCACCGGCGCAGCTTGTGCTCCACCGCCGCTAGTAGAGGTGTCGCCACCGCTTGCAGTGGTGTTTATTCCATCCATCAGAGTAACGTGAACCCTTGCTGACAGGTAAGTTGCAGAATTTCTTAGGGTTTTGGAAGGGCAGACATTGGTGACAACATAAACCCTGGATTGAAGGAGAGGAAAGAGAAGCGGGAGATGAGGAGAGGTAAGGATGAAACAAGTGGTTATTATAGTCCGGTCAAGGAAATGATCTGTGGGATGGGATTTATTAAAGAGTCCACGCGACGGGCGGAAACACTCACGAGCCGGTTGCCCTTTTGCCCCTTTCCTTTTTTTATTGGAGGCGATGACTGATGATTGCAGATGAAATTACTGGTTTACTCCTGCTTTCTTTGTTTTTTTCAACCTTTTTTTTCAAGAAATATGAATTAAATTCTTTTGCCAAGAGAACTTTAAGGTGAGTTTATTGGTGGAAAAATTTAAGATTGTATTTTAAATAATATTTGAATTCAAGGACTTGTTTAATTTTAATAAGAATTCAGGCAGATCTTGTATGCTTTACTTTTTATTTTTTATTTAACAATAATTGTATCTGGGAGTCTCTTTTATTACTCCCACAAAATCAACTAAAATAAATTAAAAACATAGCATATATATATATATTTATTTTCTTTTTTTTTAAGATCTTGAAAATATCTTCTTTTTAATAGTCCAAAACCCTTTTATTTTTAGAAGTAGTCAATCTCTTATATTAGGTTGAAAAATATACAAAGAGAAACTTTTGAAATAGACCTTTCATATCACGAAAAGAGAAACACATCTATAGTTGAATTTAAATCCAAGTTTAATGAATATAACTTCTATATTTTTTTTAATGACTATAAGAAAAGAAAAGAAAATTAATTCAAAGTATCAGGTATCGGAGAAGATAATGAGCTAGAAGCCTATTTATGAATGGGCCAAGCTGGAAGTCCGTATTGTGTGGGATGGTCTCCACTCCCTGCTAGTCTTCACTTCAGGCTTTTACTTGCAGTCCATGGCCTCGTTAAAGATGAGGCGAGCTGAGAAGGGGTCTTCGAAAACACTTTCCTCATTGGCGGGAAAAAGAAGAAAAAAATGAGCTCCTCGGCGATAGAGGCAGATACATCCGATCTGGTGTGCCAACTCGACAACGTCCAAGGCATTGTCGACGCCCTCTCCACCGTCCGATGGAAACGTCATCAGGTCTATCACCTCATTTCTCCTTCGCTTTTGATTTCATTTTCTTACAGCTCTAGGGTTTTAAGTTTTAACCAGCACCACACAACGTTTCAATCTGATTCATTGTTTTTCAATTTGTTATACTGTTATGAAATATCAGGACGCAGTTGTTGAATTATCGGAACACGGTGTCGTTTTGATTGTTGAAGAAACCGGCTGTCTTCAAGCCAAAGTTTATCTTCAAAAAGAGGTGATTATTCCTAACTTGCTAAATATTAAAGAAAATCTCCTCAATCCTCTGTTTGTTTGCCTAGAAAAAAAATCAACAAAAAGAAGAAAGGGGCAATCCACCAAAGGAGCATGATAGCAGGGCCCAAACACGCTCTAGGCTACTTACACCTTGCTAATTCTTTTGTATAGTATTTGTTTTTTTTTCCTTCTTTTTTAGTATTAAATAGAGAATTAGGGTATTTTTTCCTGGGTTAATGGGCTATAATATTGAAATCTTGATATCCATTTGTAGCTTTTTATTAGATATGAATATACTGCTCAAGGGCGGCCTCGATTTGGATTGAGCTTGGGGCTTTTTGTCGATTGCTTGAACACATTTTCGGTTCCTGGGCATTCCAGCACTATTGAAATTCGATACCCTGGACCAGACATGCAGCTCCTAATCAAGTATGTTCATGTTCTTGCTTGTTGCAATTTGTTAAAAATGAGAATTAGATAATTACACTTCTGTAAATGTGGATTTGAGGTCTAAAGTTTACTAATCAGTTGCTTGAATTTTTTCTATTATAGATTTTAATACGGGGTTCAAAGGAAATAAACTAGTACTTTAGTGATTCTACTGTTGATTATCTGGCATAGTTCGATCTGACTTTGATTAGAATGTTTGATTGAATGAACTTGATGTCTAACGCTGACTAATAATTTGTTGTTGCAGAGAAATTTGGGGATTGTAAGAGGATTTAAGTTTCTGAATGTTAAAGTTTCTAGATTTGGGAGATTGTCTTGATTGTTATTTTCATTTGCTAATTAACAACCAAACAAATTATGAATTACTTTTTGAACAAGAACCTTAACATTTAAGCACTGGTTATTTGGATATTACGGATGAAAACCTTAACATTTAATTGAAGCACTGGTTATTTGGATATTACGGATGAAATGAGGTGATGGAGATTGAAAAGTCATAGATTGTGATCCCATGAAACCTACGATCCATCTTTCCCAATTTTTTCATGGTTAAGAAGAACTCTAGTTATCAAAAGCAATCATATTTTATTAGGTAGAAGCGTTTTTTTCACTCTGAATTTAAAATACCTAAAACACAACAGGTCCTCCTGTATATTTTGTGATTGTTATCATAAGCTGCCGTTTTCCAGAGTGATAGCTTTATAATATAAGTAATTTCTATATCTGGATTTAGAATCTGTCTAGATCCTGCTGTAACATATACCTCTATCTATATCTTAGGTCTGCTGATTCACTAGATGACTGCATTTACGCGGAAATCAGGACTAGAATCCCAGAGACAATTTCATGGGACTACAACTTTGAACCTGCAGGAAGCACACCGCTTAGCTTCACTGTCAAGGTATGCTCTTGCATATTTAATGATAATGAAGTGGAGCACTGTTTTGGTCCCCCATTTATGATCAAGTCCTGCAGGAGTTAGTAATGTGCATATATTTCTGGCATGGCCATTGTCCTTTATGAACATCCATTCCACAGCATGCTCCCGATAATGTAATTGCAAATGTAGCTTTTATTGTACAACTGGCTCTCGGAGCCTACCTGCTTTGATGCCAACTTAATCTTGCAATCAAGTTTATTCAGCCATATCAGTTATGAATATGCCTATACTTATTGAAGGCTCTGATGGGTGAGCTTTCTATGCAGTCCTTCAAAGATATCCTATTCTCAAGCCAGTAATGCATGCATGTGTCATGGAATTCATAAAGATGTCAGAAAATTTGTTTGAATCATGCATTTTTCTTTAATTGATAGCTTCTTGTATTTCGGAACTAGTTGTGATTAATTGTCTGAAAATCATGGTATTTGCAACCCAGTCTGCAGCGCTGAAGGAAGCTATTGATGATCTTGAATGGCCAGGATCTAGCATCCAGATCATACTAAAACCAGTACCCCCTTCTGTTACCTTCAGAGGAGAAGGCCATGGAGACTTACAGGTTTATTTCATGTGCGAGCAAGTGGTTGAAAGAATTTAATTGATACCAGAAGTCTAAAAACCTTCCACTCTTGCAGATAGACTTCATGTATTATGCAAACACTGATCTGCTAATTGCATTTCACTGTGATCACCAAGTCTCTTACCGGTATTATTCAATTTTTTTTAATTTATTAGACCAGAGGCAACATTCTTGTACAATTAAATCATGCATCCTGTTTTTTCACAAAAATGTGGACAGGTATAAATACAAGTTCCTTCGAGCCACAACTTCTAACATACCCAGTAGTGTCACTAAAGACAACAGAGGAAGCAAGTTGACCATTGGAAGAGGTGGAATGTTGAAAGTTCAGCATCTGGTTTCTGTTGCAAGACCATCTACTTCACATCAACACATTGATTCTGCTGGCTATCAGCAACCCAGTCGAATTGCTTATATTGAGTTCTTTGTGAAGCCAGAGGAAGACGAAGACACCGTAAATGATTGATTGGCTGTTGTTCTATATGTCCTTTACATCCTTCACTTACTGCATAATAGCTGCAAATCAATGGCCTGTTTCTTTAGCGTTAGAAGATTGAAAGGTCACATCCTGAGCTTTATGGTTCAAGAAATACTCATAAAAATTAGTTAAAACCTCGACTGGTTTCTCTGGTTAATTATTAAACAAAACAAAAAAGAAAAGGGTTCGATGGAGTTGTGTGCTGATCACAAAGCTATCCCGCTAAACTTTGTCCCCGGTATTGCCCTGCCCAAATCCAAACGAATGATCTTGGGGTGATGCTGCCCTATGAAGGTTTGAACTGAAACAATCAATGATGACTACCATGAAAATTCAACAGCAGAGTAGCACCTCGGCTATCTTTTTTTTTTTGTACAGGAGGAACTGTGTGGAAGAGTTTCTTAAAAAGGAATAATAAAGTGGAAGTCAGAGTAGCACCTCGCCTATCTTTTTTTTTACAGGAGGAACTGTGTGGAAGTGTTTCTTAAAAAGGAATAATAAAGTGGAAGAAGAGGAAATTAAAAGCACGCTCTTCCTGATCTCTTTTTGTCCCTTTTACTATTTAATCAGGAAATTTCAGTAATCCTTTTTGTCCCATTACCACCAGGAGTTAGAGCAACAGGACCAAGTGCCTGGTTACGGCCAGAACATAAATTAATATTTTAAACATGGTTCCCTAGACCTTGGAATACACAATTACTTGTATGACAAATCCATGCCTCTTCAAGGTAGAATTTAATTGTCGCATTAAAAAAGCAGAATTTCCCCTCATCAAGGATTAATATTGGTGCTAGCTAATATTTTATATCATTAATTAGCTGTCCAAGATTGATAGAAAATTACAATGGATAAAGGTAACACCAAAATGTGCTAGGTCTTTATTTCTAAAATCTGGCTTTAATTCTCATTGCAAATCGTGTCTCGCTCATAAATCTCGTTTTAAGCAGCATTATTGTCTGTTGATCCCATAATTGAGAAGGAAAGAACATCAACATATGCCTTAAAACAACATTGCATTTTAACATGTAATCCACATCTCTAATCCCAAGAAAGTAAGGATTCTCCCACTATTTATACGTCCTAGTTCTTGGAAGGGACAAATTTTCTATAACGCCACCTTGATTAGAGAAGGTGCAAGAGAATGAACAATTGAAGATTGTAGCAAAATGAAGGTTAGAGACAAAAGAATGTAAAATAAAAGAAATTTTAACTAAGTGACTAAAAAGAGAAGAAAAAAAGGTTCAAATTATCAGAAAAGATAAATGGATATGGATTGAAATTCAAAATTATCTAGGAATATTAATTAATAATAAATTGATTCTACCACCCGTTAACTTCTAATTTGAGAAGCAAATAAGTCATTTATGGAGATGAGCAATTTCAGTAATGCATCTTTGAAGTAAGGAAATAATGAAGAACATAGATAATTAACAAGCAACTATAGATAATTAACAACCAACTATCCATAATTTTTTTTTTAAATATAACTCAAAAATAAAAAGGAGAAAACAACAACAATAACAACTTATCAAATCAACAACAACAACAACTAACCATCTAGGTAGTGGTTAAGTGGTAACCATTAATTAGCTGTCCAAGACTGATAGAGAATTACGATGGATAAAGGTAACACCAAAATGTGCTCGGTTTTTGTTTCTAAAATCTGGCTTTAATTCTCATTTCAAATCGTGTCTCGCTCATAAATCTGTTTTAAGCAGCATTATTGTCTGTTGATCCCATAATTAAGAAGGAAAGAACATGAACATATGCCTTAAAACAACATTGCATTTTAACATGTAATCCACATCTCTAATCCCAAGAAAGTAAGGATCAGGATTCTCCCACTATTTTTACGTCCTAGTTCTTGGAAGGGATAAATTTTCTATAACACCACCTTGATTAGAGAAGGTGGAAAAGAATGAACAATTGAAGATTGTAGCAAAATGAAGGTTAGAGACAAAAGAATGTAAAATAAAAGAAATTTTAACTAAGTGACTAAAAAGAGAAGAAAAAAAGGTTCAAATTATCAGAAAAGATAAATGGATATGGATTGAAATTCAAAATTATCTAGGAATATTAATTAATAATAAATTGATTCTACCACCCGTTAACTTCTAATTTGAGAAGCAAATAAGTCATTTATGGATTGTTTGCGAGGAAATAAGTGTTACACACTAAATTAATTAGAATTAGAGAGTTATGAAGAAGTCTAGGTCAAATGATAAGAAAGACAAACATGGTAATAGGTTTAACTTAGTAAGTGTTTTATATTAAAATAAAATTTAGACTAGAAAAAAGAAGAAGACAAATGTGGTTATGAATTGTACCAGATAAGAATTACATATAAAGATTAGGGGGTGATGCAATTTAAATTAGAAGAAAGGAAAGACATATTCGGTTGTAGATAAGATTTGATAAGATCCAGATTTATAAAAAAAAATTAACTAATTTAACTAATTTAAATATGTCAAGTAATGGAGATGAGCAATTTCAGTAATGCATCTTTGAAGTAAGGAAATAATGAAGAACATAGATAATTAACAAGCAACTATAGATAATTAACAACCAACTATCCATAATTTTTTTTTTAAAATATAAATAGAATAAAAAAGAGAAAACAACAACAACAACAACTTATCAAATCATCATCAACAACAACAACTTATCAAAAAAAAAAAAAAACAAGCTACTCTCATATTTATAAAAGAAATTGACTAATTATTTATTAATAGTCATTGGAGATTTATTTGGTCGTTTACTTCATAACTTATGAGGATGAGTCGAGATTTGCACAAGCTAACTTGAACACCCTACATCAATTAAAAAAAAAACAATAACAAAAAAAACAATAACAATTGTTTTGTAATTGAACTAAGCTTACAAGATATTCAAAATTTGGTTATCAGTAGGCTTATAATCCCACAGAGAGTTAACCATTGTAGGCAAATAGCTTATAGATTGATAATTAATAAGTGATAACCAAAAGGTTTGTAAACAAGTATGTTTGCAATATTCATTATCAAAAAACTTTAATAATACCAAAAATATATCAATTCATGTTCTTCTATTAAGGAATTCTCGTGCTGGTTGTAATCAATTGAAAAATCATCCAATAAGTATAAGTTT